CCTCCCTGGCTGACCCTGCAGCTTTGCTCAGTGCCCGTAGGCACGGCTTGTTTTAGGGCACCTGCTTCATCAAGGCTCAGAGGAGCGGGGCTGGATTGCCCCCCTGCCAGCTGCCCCACGATAACACAAGGGGTTGGTGTTTCGTACACTGCAACTTGCTGGGGTTTAGAAAGGGCTTTGAGAAGTGGTGAACCCAGGCAAAGGATGGAGAATTCAGGTCTGCAAAGGAAGGAAGCCTCCATAGGGTTTTTTTTTTTTAATTGGTCCACATGGCTGACGCCCAAGAGGGACCTGCACACAGTGTGCATGGTCCTCAGTCCCTTGCAAGTCAAGGCACGGTTTGATAGCACTGCAGAGTGGGAGCAATACATCTGTGTCTGCAGCCTGGCCCGGCCTGAGGTCAGACCCCGGAGCAGAGGCTCTCCACCTCTATGGGCTCAAGGGACCTTGGAAAATGCTAGCTCTGAATATCCACTCGTACTTTTGACTACGGAAAAAATAGAGCAGTTCTTCTGTTGCAAAGACCTCAGTAAGCCCACGACGGAGCCGAATGGTTTTGACGCAATGGATTCCTACAAGCACGTGAACAGCCATTCGCTGGATCAGACCGTAGGTCCATCGTGCCCAGTCTCATGTCGCACAGCAGCAGAGAGTGGACCCTGAGAGGGAGCATGAACTGGGTCTGACCAGGGTTTTTCCCCTGTTCCTCTCTCACTTGCAGCCTCCTACACTTGAGGTCTAGGACAGGAGTAGGCAACCCTCGGCATGGGTGCTAGCATATGGCACATGAAGACACTTTGCTTGGCGCACGCACCTCAGGGTGGATGGCAGGGAAGGGGCTGGGGCTGCGCTGCCGCAACAAGGATCAGGCCCCTTGCGACTCCCCTACCATCTGACCCAGCACACCGGCATCTAACAAATCGAGGTTGTGGGTGTTTTTGGCACTCCAGCCAAAAACATTGCCCCTGGTCTGGGCAGTTCTGAATTTTATCTCATGAATCCTGTCGCCACATCTAACTGTGCCCATATTACGTGGTATTGCCAGCCTTGGCTATTTTCAAGGGATCTGCAAAAGTGTTGCTAAGCCAAAGGCCAAAAACCTGTTTGTGTCACTGTAGTGGGAACCTTTGCAGATGTGACAACTGACTTGGTCAGCAAAGTAAAGGAAGCTATCGAACACAATTAAACAAAGCACAAGGGTGAAAGGACATAAGTGAAGACCATACATTAAATAATCCATATCTATTGTATCATAGTAAAGTATGAGAAGAAGTGATTGATGTAATCAAATGCATTAGATGTTTTATTGCTATAATAGATATATTTCTGTTAAGATGCTTAAATCAGTTGTAGAAACAAAAACAGCCTTGTCAGAGAAGACCATAAAGTAAGAAGAAACAGGCCAGCATTGAACAATGTTCCACATTGGGAAGGAAAGGAGGTGAGAAACCCTCCCCCTTTCTTTCCTAAGGATATAAATCCCAACTAATTGGGCACATCTACACATGCATTAATGCACTTTAGGTAATGCGCATTGAATCTAGTACCTCCAGTGTGAGGTACTTAGCCTGTCTTAATGCGCATTAACTAAAGAGCACGGTTTTAAAATGATGCTTAATGCACATTAGCCTATTTTAATGCACATTTTAGTGATGCTTTAATATGCATTAAAATAGGCTAATGCGCATTAAAGCACACGTGTAGATGCATCCATTGAGACCTTCCAAGTCCACAAGAGATCTGGTTCAGTCCAGTTCCAGCAGTTTCAGGGAAACGCAGATATTTCAACAAAACCAATCGGAGATAATTTATTAGAATGTTAAAACTAGCCATTTATACGTATTAGGCATAGGCTGGAAGGAGATTTGGAGAATTTAGCCAATTCCAGGAGACCTGCTGCCAATCTGCATGCCAGCCTCTTCCCACCTCTCAAGTGCCCCAGCCGGTATAGGTGAGAATACAGATTGTGCTGTAGCGGGTAGCCAGATAGACTTTGAGATAAATATTTGTTTTCATGTTCTAAAGTGCAAGCAAATAAAAGGTTGGGCTGTGGACCTGTTTCTGCCTCTTACCAGTAGCCTACCCACAAGGTTCACAGTGGCACCCCTGAAAGGATCTCAAAGCACCCCTTGAAAGGGTTTCAGGGAGCTGTGGGACCCTGGCTGAGAATTGGGGAATTCCTGGCCCTCTTAATAATCTGCAGAGTGGAATCTGCAGAGCATAGCAAGGGCAAGAAGTGCTCTCGTGCTGCACTTGTAGCTGACACTTGACGGGCAAGGGAAGCACTTTAGTGCACTTTGCACAGCACGGGGCTCTGCTTGCTTTTCCCCTGGACAGACAGAAATTTGCAAACACTGATCCTGGGAGCTGAGCTGACAAGAGCCAAGTGGAAACCACAACTGCGCATGGACGAGGAAATGCGTGGCTTGCAAGGTTGCAGAATTGCACCTGTGGCTAGCCAGCTGCTGTTCCCAAGACTGAGCAATGGGAGGTTTTGTGATTTCAGCAAGACCTTTCTGGAGGTCTAACTCTGCCGTGCTGTTGTTAGCGAGCGCTGCGAGTTAGGCTGAAGGCTGACATGTATCCTGTGAATTGGGAAGAGAACCCCTTTGTGAAAGGGGAAGGGTGTAGATGCATGGTGCTGGCTGGCATCCTGGGGCCTGCGTGGCAGCAGGCATGCGGCGGCTGCCCTTCCCTGGAGGCAGGAGGGACTTGGAAGGGGGCGTCAGTGCAGAAGGGAGCAATGGGGGCAAATTGTTCCTTGCTGTATCCCCTGTGCAGTTCAAAATGGCCTGTGCTGCAGGGAAAATGCCGGGCTGAGCAGGGATTAGTGGCTGTAACTATGGCTACTGCTCCTGTGTCCGCTGAGTTAGTTTTTCAAGCTTTCTCTTGGCAGGAGCTCTGTCACCTTTGCATCCTGGGCCCTCAAGTGGCCTCTCTGAGCATATTTCAGAGTCTTCCCAGGGACATGTAATGCTCCTGGGATTTCAGCTTTATCCCCCGCAGAAGACTAGACATCATCCGCTTCTGGGGCTGCAGCGGCTCTCCTTGGATGCAGCTTTGTCTGCTCCTGGCAGAGCCGGGCTGGCTCAGGTGTCCTTTTTGCTGGGTTGCTATGTTGCTGGGATGGGATTTTGCCTCGCCTCCTTGGGGATCTCCAAGGACATGAGCAATGGTGTAGCTATAGAAACGAGAGAAACAGTGGGTCCCCCCGCCGCACCGCATTGCATTTGCTTCTGTCGCAGAATGTGGCAAGGCACACGTCTCCCGTAGCGTGTGCCTGAGGTTGGGAAGGGGAAGAGAGGAATTGTCTCTCTGAAGCAGAGCTGGGGGAATAACACAGCCTAACCCAGCTGGGACCCTGGCACTAGCACCTCTTAGACCAGGAAAGTACCCAGGGGTCTCTTGGTGACCACGAGTGGCTGCAACATCACCCCAGCTCCAATTTAAAGAACAATCATCACAGCTCCCTGCAGTGCCAGGCTTCGTTATGAACTACACCCACCAGCTGTTGCCCCTTCCTGCATCTCCTGGGCTGCTCTGGAGGTCTCCCATCTGACTGCAGACCCTTCCTGATCCTCCTTACTGTAGAGAAGCTGCCAAGATCGCAGTCTGAGCTTCAGGCTGGGAGCCCAGAAGAGCTGTGAAATGTAACTCCTGTTTTCATTCCACAAATAACTTGCCATCTAGGCTTGAAACTTTGGGCCAGACTGCAGGGTGGCCTGCTGAGATGTGTGTGTGGAGGCTTGCACTTGGTGCGACACATGGAGGACCCTAAATCACTGCTGCTGTCCAAACGCCTCGGGTGTTTAGGGAAGATCTGGGTTTCTTGCATACATACTGGCCTCTGGCTGCTTTACCGCTCCATCCAGGAAGAGCACAGACCGTCTGCAGACACTTCCTCAGCCTGACAAAGGATGTTTGTGCCCGAAAGCTCACTAAGAAGAATTTTTCCAACTATTTGAGTTAGTCTAATAAAAGATATCGGATTTACCCAAAGAACCGTGTCTGCCTACGTCCTTAAACCAACATAGCTACAACCTACACCCTAGGGAAGGTCTGAGCATTTCATTCCCTCCAGAGTAGCTGCTGCTCAGGGTCCTGGGACAATTTGCAGATGCCTTCTTGTCTCCTCTGCCCAGTTGCTCTTCCAGCATGGTGCACATCAAAGGAAGAGCCGGCAAATGCAGTCAGAGTTGGGTTAGTCAAACCGAACCTGTGGAAGCTGTGACCAGATAAGTTAAGGGAGCTTGTGTTCAGTGACCGTCTCCTTGACGCGACGCAGCAGGGGGGGCTAATGCTGCTTTATTGGGACCCCCGTGCACGTGCTACACTCATTGATCCTGGTAGTGAAATGTTAACCTGTCCACGAAGGCACTTGGCCTTTGCACTGGTGGGCTGAGGCTTGGGAGAGGATGGGAGAACCAAGTTTGGCTGTTTTCTAGGCAAAGATTTGGCCCAAGCTCTGTATTCTGACTGACGGCGCTTAGTGATGCTTGGGGCTTTAATGTCATTTTATCCTGGCAGTATGTCCATGCCCTTGCTCCCTCCAGACTCTGGGTGCCACGTCCCCTTGATGTTAGGGTGCACACACTGCAGCCGCCACAAACCTGCTGGCGTTCGGCACGTGCACCCCTAGCGCTGCCTGTGCCTCCGCTGGGGTGAGCTGGCAGGCGGGGTGCGCTCATGTTGGGGCAGGGCTCCCGAGAGGTGCAGTCAGCCCGCTGCCTGTTCTCCTTTCTGTTTCCTTTTCATCCTCAAACAAGTCTGCGTGTTGAGATCCAGAGCTCCTGGCTCAACGTCTGCGCATGTGAGACTTGACTTAAACGAGCATCTGACAAACACTCCCCGAGTCCCCAGAGCTACTCCGTGCACTTTGCACGAGCTCTCCTTCCTGCCACCCCACCCATGCTAGTACTCCCATCGCTCCCAGCAGCTTGGGAGGGCTGCTGAGCACCAGAGGTCTCTAATGCTTCCCCTTCTGTCTCTTGCTTCCCCAGGGGACGTGCTGTTCCAGATGGCAGAAGTTCACAGGCAAATCCAGAACCAGCTGGAAGACATGGTAAGTGGCACCCAGCTTGCAGGCGGTTTCTGGAGGAGCCAAACACCTGTGGGGAGCAGTAGGCAGACTTTTGGACGAGCAGGTGTCTCAGCTGGTTCAGCTTTAGCAGGAGAGGGGAGTGTGGTGCTGCAGAGAGCTTGCATAAAGTAACTGCTCAGAGTAGAAGCCTCCAGTAATAAACCTCGGGCTGAGCAAAGGAATATGCCCAGAGGCGGGTCAGAGGTGCACTGGGATGCCTTGAGAGGACTGGGTCATGTTTCATTGTCTGAGTGGAAGAACCAGCCTGTCTGGGTATTATTCCACAAAGCTAGTGAGCATCTAAGGGAAGCCTCCAGGCCTGAGACTGAGGAACCCAGTGGGCTCCGATTCCTGTCCCTAGTTTGTTCCGCGTGTCCAGCTCCACGTTGACCCTCTCTCCGAGTGAGCTCCCATCTGTTTCCCTCCGTCCATCAGCCTTGCTTCCTTTATCCATCCAGACAATCATCCACCTGCCTTCCCCTATCCAGTTGGCTGTCCTGATGCTAACCCGTCTCTGTCCGCGGCAGCTCCGCAACCCGGCCTTCCCCACGATTGCTCTTGCTCTGTCATCCGCTCCTCACCAACCCGTTACTGTCTTGTCTGAGTACTCCTCAGTTCATGGTGCACAGGGCAGGGATCCCCTCTTCTGCTCCTCTCTGTGTGTTTGGTTTTGAATCCAGGGCATCCACTGTGCATTTCTTTTTTTGTTTGCAGCTGAAGTCCTTTCACAACGAGCTCCTCATACAACTGGAGCAGAAGGTTGAGCTGGACTCCCGGTACCTCAGTGTAAGTAAATCAAACCCTTATTTAACCAGCATAGGAATTTTATCAGCGCTTCCTGACATCCTCATTGCTGCCCTGTTTCCTCCTCCATCAGGGTGGGGGAAAGACTTGCACCCTTCCATGGCTCGTTCTGCTCACCTTTGTGTAGGTCCAAATACTGCTGCCAGGGTTAAAGCCCAGGCACCCAGAAGGCTCCTATTTAAATAATGGCCCTTTTGCAGCTTTTTAAGCAAAAACAATCCCCTCCTGCTGTCCTCTGCAAACCTGCAGGCTTCATTGCTCTTCCTCCTGCTGTGCCCACCACGAGCTTTTCACACCCCGTCATGGCCTCCAGGCTAGTGTGTTCTGGGCATTGTAAGATGTGCATTTCCCAGTTTAGTTTGCAAGAACTGATACTAATTCAGCAACTATTGATTTGGATTCCAGTAGTGTTTGGAGCATGCTAGATGCTTTCCGATCACCTGGTCAGCATGAAATCAACTTTTCATTGCTTTTAGCGATTTCCATTCCTTACCTCTCTATCCTACTATGAAACCACAATGGAGATGGTATTTCTGCTCTCAGTATTTCTGGGTTGTTGGGAGCACGGTGCCCCCACAGCTCTCGGAGGAAGAGACTGTGCATTTGCCTTTAAACATGCCCTTCAAACCCTGAGCCTGACAGGCCGTGGCTGCTGCGAGGGCGTGATCTGTGCTCATCTGGTGCAGAGAACCCGGTTTCTGCTCTTCAGAGCTTTTCTGCTGTGCTCTCTCCAGGCTGCACTGAAAAAATACCAGACAGAGCAGCGGACCAAAGGAGATGCACTGGACAAGTGCCAGGCAGAGCTGAAGAAACTTCGCAAGAAGAGCCAAGGGAGCAAAAACCCGCAGAAGTACACGGACAAGGAGCTGCAGGTAGGACTCTTGCCCTGCTTGGGGGCTTTGTCCAGTGTTGAGGATGCCCACGAGGCTGCTTTTCCATAAGGCAGCTGTTTCATGCTGCACACAACTTGCCCAGCTGCATCAGCTCTTTAGGTAAAGGCCCTGCATTTTCCTATAAGATATGAGTCCAGGGACCGTGGCCCATGGGACCGGCAATTGTGGGGGGCTGGTTCCTGCTCCAGCGCTGTGACCCTGGCTGGGTTGTCTCCCTCTCTGTGCTATCCCTAAATTAGGGAACGGTGCTTGACTTTGCAAAACCCTTTTTTGCTCTGCAGCTCAATTAATTAATTCTCTCTCCTTGAATTGACTGCAGTCTCCTCTTTTATTGGTGACTGAACCAGGAAGATTTTCATCTTGGTGAAATTCTGTTGTGCTAGATACCTCTCCCTGCCGGTCTCTTTCTGCAGAGATCTCCTGCAGGGCCTCTCCCTTTGCAATGCCTCTCCATTTTCCCACTACCCTTGGGTGTGACAGGATGGCAAGCGCAGGCTGGAGGGGCCTTCATTGGAGACAGCAAATAACTTGACTAAGCAGTGACTTCTGATTCAAGGATACTTGAATACTCCTTACTGCTTTCTAATCAGATTTTGATTGCATCCTCCTGAGAGTGCCACAGAGTCCCTAGATAGGCAGGCGAGCAGCTCAGCACAGTGGCCCAGTCTCAGTGAGGGGAGCGTGACATTTTGTCAGATATAGAAGCTCAAGCTTCTGGATTTCCAAGCAGGGAGAAAGTCCGGGAATAATGTCTGATTAAAATGCATCTGGCAAAGCGTTCTGAAAGTTACCGCTGATGCACGCAGCACCAGGGATGACTGTGAGAGCAGCAGGACAGAGCTGGGCCCAGAGCGGGTTAATGACTGGGTTTATACCAGGCGTTGGTCTCCTGTGAATGTCAGTGACCTGAGATACAAACTTCACCTGCCCCACCCTGTCAGTCTGCAGCAAGTCAGAATAAACAGCGCATCCATCTGCAAGCACGTGGTGGCCTAAAATGCTCTCTCTGCTTGTCCAGGCCTGTTCCCATCACCAAGGCCATGGGGTAAACACAGCAGTCCTGAAACATTCCTGTTGCATGGGAGGGGTGTGGGGGAGAATTAGTGCATGGGCCAGAGGAGCTGCACAATCCTGCCTCTTGCAAGTGACCTTTTGCGGGAGCTGCCGCATTACCCCCGGGACTGACATTAATCAAAGGTTACTTGAATGACAAGTCACCCGTCCCAACCGGTCCCCAAGCACGGATGACGACTCCCCAGCCCAGCTCTGTTGAAGGGCTGTGTACCGAAAAGCACGTGCAAAGTAATCAGCAGATAATTAGAGTGAAAGTTATGCAGGGGAAGTGACATTTCTAATTGTACCAAAATCCAGGGAGCAAATTACTCTTTTGGCAGCATGAATCAGAAAGATCACTGAAGGGGAACAACAGAGGTGTTTATCAGCAATCCCGTCTCCAGCCTCCAGAAGGGAGACTTGTTTTTATTTTGTGTTTTATACTGCTGTGTATTGAGCTCTTATTTCTATGCGCCCTCTAAACACCTAGGGCTGTCCAGGAAGGATTTGTACAAGTCAAATAAGGTTTACGCAGCTCCTTCTGAGTCTGTGGGGGCACTAAAACATACTTCGGGGTCCTGTCTGCCCAGCAAAAAGACCTGATTGTGCATCCAAGTGTCTGTTTCTTTGTAAGAGGCAAGGATTCCTTAGGGGGCTGGCTTTTATTGGGCTGGCTGTGTAGTCGGGATAGAGTTAGGCAAGCTTTCGAATGCAAGGCTTTCTTCATTAGGTCCGATCAGAAAAACACAGCATAGCAAAGGGCACTTGTACACGTGACGATTTGCCCATGTACACGGTAGTGGGGGGGGAAAGGAGAGATGTTCATTCTTCTTTATCATTAGCTGAAAGAAAGAGAATTGCAGACCATTGGGCACCAGTACCTGTAGGAAATGCAAGGTATGAGGATCAGCGAGGCTGAACAGATGAGGGGGGCCTACGGCATGTCCCACAGATACCCAACTAGCTGGGGAGTGGGCCTTGCCCCGACTTGAAAGGAGTTTTGCCCTTCATGCAGGGTGTCTAGCTGAGTTAGTCCATATGGATTCTCCCCAGCTCTTTCCCATCTGTGCCTTTTACCACAAGCTACAGGGAGGTAGCGACTGTTCATTGCAGCCCATCAAACTGAGCATTTGATGTTCCTGCCGTGAGCTGACAGATACACGGGTGCTTGCTCGGGTGGAGGGGAAGAGGATCAGGCTCTGACTCTCTTTATCTTTCCAGAGTAGGCATTTAGGGAAGTGCTTATCTCTTTGAAAAAGCCATATGATGGCTTGTAGGCTTAAAAAGAGCCGTGAAAACTGCTCAATGGCTGGATTTGTCTGGATTAAAATAAAAAGTTGCCATTGCTGAATTGGACCAAGTGCTGTTTTCCCCTCTGCTCGGGGCTGGCCGGTGTGTCGGTGTTGCAGGTCTGCAGCAGACAGGAAGGAACAACACACCCCTTATGGCAACCCTTGCCATATGTCACTCTCTTTTATTGCTGGTGTATTTGAAAGCTGGGGTTTTGGGCAGTTGATAAAACTGCTCCGCATGGCTGTGGCAGGGGACCTCTAAATGTCCAAGGCTCAGGTGGACTCTTGTTCTAAACACCTATTGCAAAATGTTGGAAGATAAACTTTTCAGCCGAGGCAGCTTTTTAAGATGAACACTTTGGAAGGAAGGAAGAGGCTTTGTTTCATGGCTAGCAGAAACAGCTGTGCGAGACTGGTTTGCAAATTTGAAGTGGAGCCGGGGGGACGGAGTCAGCACAACCATTGGCTCTGTGCTCCCTGGGGCACGCGAGCCATTCCAGAGGTGAGGCCTGCCCGCTACGGTCATCCTCTTCCTGCGTCTTGACCTTTCTCCTTGTCCCGCGCCCAGAACATTTCCCCTTTTTCTTGTTTTGATTCTTGCCTTGGCTCAGCACAAAGGCTGACCCTGCCAGGAATGGAGCTTCACCACCCGTTGTGGTTCATCGCGTCTGCAGCTCTGCTCTTCTGACTTCCAGCATCTAAAGAGCAGCTGGTCAGAGGGGGAAGCCTCTTGCCTGGGGCACGGAGAACGGGATATCTTGCTGCCTTCCCTGGAAACAGGCTTTAAGGCCAGCTCAAGATCCTTGGCTGAACGGCTGCAGTCACGTGCACATTCAGTCTTGTTCCATCAGGATACGAGCTCTCTGACTGCTCGCTCCATATGGGAAGCTAGCGAGCTGCGCCTTTCTCAGCAAGGGAATTAGCATTTGTAGGAGAGGAGCTGGGATTGGCATGGTGCCACCTTTGTGGTGGCCTTGTAACACCACTGCCATCCACCTGGGCTTGTAACCAGGATGCCAAAAGCTCTTCTCAGTACCATCAGCAACCGGAGCCGAGCCTCCTTGAGCCCGCATTTGAAAAGGAGACCCGTCACACAAGAGCTGGACCCTTGGAGATTATCTTCTCTAATAGTGGGAGAAGTGGCTGCCAGCAAGAACATCCTGGTGGTTAGAAAAAATTGATTTTTGCTCAATAAAGAAAGGAAATCTGCTTTTGCTTTGAAGACTTGTGCACTTCTAAGATATTGCAGCACTTTGCAAGTGCCTGTTGAACGGTCATCGGGATTCAGATGCTCTGCCATCTACTACCACCTTTCTTGAGAGCTGCGGTAAATGTGACAGCTCTTTTTTGTGGGTTTGTTGTCTGCTGAATTGCAGCATTTTGTTGTTGTCAGGAAGTAAAACCCAAGTTTCGAATCTGGGCCCCAGCTGGAGGGGACAAGATGCTCTTTAAATGAGCTTTGAATGTGTTGCTTCCTTCCTTCATCCCCAACCGTCTCAGGAGCTCCAGCTCCCTCTTCTCTTAACCCATCCTTGCTCCACCGTGTCTAGACAATGGGAACCTTGAGGGCTACCGTGTGGTAGGATGAGGGGCTTGCTTGGACCAGGATGCTACGTGGGCTGGTTTACCTCTGAAAGGTGCAAGAGATCCCTTGCTGTGTCCGATTTTAGCAGGTGGGGAGGCATTCAGAGCTCAGCAGAAGTGTCCCATGTGAGATGATTTGTTCACAAAGGGAAAGGCCCATGGCTGAGACCCATCAGGCACTCCACTTGAACTTGCCCAGCTGAATGTGCAATTGCTTTGCTCAGGTACAAAGAGCAACATCCACTTCCACTTCAAAGCAAACCGAAACCCAAATCGGCAAAGCCCCTTGTGCGCAAACCTCGAGTGCCGGTGAAGAGCTAATCCAGATCTGTTCTGTCCCTTTTGGGTCTGGAAAGCTCCAGCTGCAGCGTGAACACCTATACATGTTTTTCTTTCTCTGTTAACTAGATGAAGGAGGAACTCTAAGGATGGATGTGAGCAAACCATGCTAGGGTTCACAGTGGAAAGAGCTGTGCTTCCACATGACAGTGCCTATGAGCAGCTCTTAATGCGCTTAGTTGATGTGTGTCCATGATCTCTCCTGCTAGCGCTTGACAGTATTTAATACATTGCGGTGGCCATCTGTTTGGTTTGCAGTGACCATTTGTGAGCGTCTCAATGCTCTAAAGTGTCTTTGCTTCGGGCCTTGAGATTGGGTCTGGTGTAGTGAGGTTTCAGGCCACTGACTTCCCATCTGGCCTGCAGCTATGAGTTGCTGTTACCGAGTCCAGTGTCTGCTTAGCCCAGCTCGTCACTGCTCACGGCTTGGGTATAAGTGAGGACCAAGGGTTTGGCCAAGTGGCTCCAACATCCCTTTAGCAAAGGGATCTCTCTTTTCAGGGGTCTTGGCACGTATTGGAAGTCAGAAGGACAAGCCAGTCCTGTGCACTGCTTTATGGATTGTATTAGGAAGACTAAGCAAGCAATATTCAGATTAAACAAACATACCTGAGCCTCACTGAACAAATTACAGCTGAACCCCAATCACTTCCTGACCACAGTTGAGACTGAATTAGCAGGTTAACGATGAAGTTGGTTTGTGAAAGCCGC